GGGCGCCCCGGGGAGCCGCTGTCGGCGTTGGCATGAGCCCTGCCTCGCGTCCAGGAGCCGAGCGCGGCCCGCAGCGGCACCGAGGTCCGTGCGGAGCCCGGCCAGGCTGGGCAGCCCCCGGCGCCTGCTCCGGGCCCCACGGGCATCCGGGCCGGGCAGCGGGAGCAGCTCTGGAACGCCGCCGTTGTTGGAATATTTTGTGTTCCGACGATCTGTTGGAACTAGCTGGCAGGCAGAGACCAGTCTGGAGGGCTGCTCTGTGGCTGCTGTTGACAATGGAAACGACTCCGGAGCTCGGGGCGGATCCCGCCTTAATGGCAGAGCACTTTAGCCTGACAGCAGTGAGATTAGCGATGGAGACTCCAGCCTGCACGTTTGCGGGGTTTCTTGCTTAGCAAGTGTCATTTGATGCTGAGTGGAAAGCCATCCTTGGGGCTTCATCAGGGAGGCTTTGTGTACAAAAGGTTCTGGTGAGGAACGATGGCTCCATAGGGATTAGTAGAGGCAAAATGTCCCTTTGTGTCAGTGCAGCAAGCCAAAATGCTATCAGGAAAATCTTCCTTGCTCTTATGCCTGGGTTGTCTCCCTGCCTCTTGCAGGCAAAGCTCCCTTTGGGTTTGTCCCCCAGGTATTTCCAGCGCTGAGGGCAGGTCCTTGGGCTCTCGCTGCTGCTCTTGGGGGTGCGGATTGTGCCCTGGTCTCTCTCTCAGCATCTTCTGATCAGGTAACTCAGCACTCTGCACAGGTCGGGTGCCTGGGGGAGCTTGAGAGACACATTTCTCTAAACTCAAAGGAAGGAGATAGAGCTGGAAAATGTGCATTTGAACCCCACCAAAGCTGTAACTGCTGAGCCCAGCTGGGCAAGGCTTACTCTTTAACACTGTCTCAACTGAGCTTTCCTAGCATTATGGCATGAATCTTACATGGTTTTTGTGCTCGGACCATTCCTTTAAAGGCTTCCAAAGGAAACCCTGTGTCATAAGACTCTAGGAGCACTTTCCTGTGTTCAGCAGCGAGGTGCTAGTGAACTGTGAACTGCAGCTCGAGCGGGTGGCTTCGCCTCAGGGGGTTTTTACACCAGCTTGGGAAGGTGCTCGAGCCGGGGAGGAGCGCGCACCGTGTCAGGCCCTTGCACCAGCTCGGCACACGTCGGCCCCGCTGCCCTGCTGGGGCTGCTCCCTGGACCTGGCAACTTGGCTCTGGAGGCAGCATTTCCATAAAGATTTGCTAACTCAGAAGTGACTAATGCATCTGTCTGTAACTTAAGATCTTCCTGCTAAGACTTCCTGAGTAGCTGGGTGCAATGGTCCCATTGCTAGCTTGGAGCACTGCTGCAGTTAGGCAAAAGTGAGAAGAAAGGTGGTGCTCAAGGCTGCTTCGGGTACAGAGTATGGCTTAACTAGGGAAAAAGGTCTTCAGAAATGGCTGTGAATTCTCTGTGTCCTCTCTTGTGGCACCTTTCTGGGCACAGGCTTGCTCGCTGTCCCGTGCTTTGCTTTCCCTCTGCTCCATGCAGGTGTCTGACTCTCCCCTTCCCTCTCTCCAGGTGTATGTGGCTGGGAACGACAGCTCTAGCCTGCTGCTGGGATCCTTACAGCCAGTCCTAGGAGTGATTTTTGCTCTCTATTCCTTCACCAAGCAGAATGTGTCCTACTTACGGTAAGGATGGATTGTGCAGAACTTCTGGGATCTCTTTTTCCCTGGGGGGCCCAGCTCTGCAGGACACGTTCTGCAAGGACATGCACGCAGCTCCAGACCAAATTTCTTATCCCAAAGAGCTCTCATTCAAAGCAAGCAGAAACCACAGCCCTATACGCAGTGCAGAAGCTGGCTGTCAGACCTGTGCCCAGGGAAACGCTTCTCCGTTAGCTTTGCCTTCCCAGCAGCGTGTTTGTTAGAGGCAGACGTGCCTTGCAGAGCCCGGGATCAGAGGAGTTGCACCATGTGGATGGCCCGCTGGAGTTGGGAAGAAGGATCGTGTTTGCCTAGGGGCAGAGAAGATGATGCAGGATCTGGCAGGGTGTGGAGGAGTTTGGGCAGAATAAAAACTGGGTAAAAGAGCTTGAGCGCTGCCTCTTTGAAATAAAGGATTTTATCCTGTATCTTTGAAACAGAGGATTACTCTGCCTCTCTCAGCAGCGATGCCGTCTTGCTCTGTGCCCCATTCCCCCTGACTGATAAATGACTGTAAGCACTGCATACAGTGATGATGGCAGCAGCAATAGTGGTGACCAGGTGCTGGTTGTCCTCTCTCCCTTCTCCTCCCAGGCTTTCCCTGGGTTGTCCCAAATTCCGGGAATACAGTCCTGGTGGGTTTACACTAACGCTTTGATGATATTAGCCTGTGGGGACCAGAGGTTTTTCCCTCCAAGGTCCTGTGTAGATATGGCCTCTGCTATTATTAAAAACATCATTAATCATTTCAAAGAGCAGCGAGGGCTCTGGCAAGTTCTTGGAACAAGACAAGTTAACACTGCTGCTGGGTGAGCAGAATCGCTGCGGGGTTCTCTCCTTACACAGGAATTTGGCAAGGGTGTCTGAAACCACAGCTGCCTGGAAGCGCTCGGGTTTCCAGACCCCTGGCACGGCGCTGTAACTCAATCCTGTTAACCTGCATCCCTGCGTGGCAGGGATTTGTGTGCCACCTTCCTGTGCGCCCCGGCTCCTTCCTCCTTCCCTTGGCACAGCTGGCACCTCGGTGCTTTGGCAGGTTGGCGTGAAGCTCCGTGCTGCAGCCGCCTGGAAGGGCTCTCCCTGTACAGACATGCCGCTCCGTCAGAGCCCGTGCTGGGCTGAGGACCTAATCCTTCCATCTGTGAATGCTGGGAGGGCAGGATAAGCCCCTGATGCTATAGCTGATACCGGTGCCTCCAGGGCGCGGGAGCCCTCAGCCTGCGGAGCATCCCGGGGAGCATCCGTGGTGGCGCCGGGGGCTTCCCGCGTTCTCCCTGGCCCCGCGGTGCTGCAGCAGGTCCGCGCAGAGCGGAGCGTGGCCACTGCTGCTTCCTCTCCTCTCCTCTCGCCAGCTCGCCGTGCCAGGAGATCCTGCTGTGGTTCTTGGAGAAGGCGGAGCGGGAGGCGGCGCTGTCCGTGCTGGAAGGGCTCGCGGAGGTGGAGAGCAGCGTGCCCGTCCTGCACCCGCGGTGCCAGCTCCGCGCGGGCAGCGAGGGCGGCGCGCTGGCTGCGGTGCACGAGGCCGTCAGGTGAGAGGGGCCGGGACGATGCCCGGGTGTCCTGCCCGGAGCCTTTCCATGGCAGGGGGTGCTGGCCCACCGTGGGCTTGTCCCCTCCTGTCCCCGCTGCAGGGGCTGGCAGCACGGGGCCCCAGCTGGCCGTGCTTGCCCCAGGTCCGCGGTGCGTGTGCACGGGGCAGCACTGGCTTTCGCTCCTGAAAAGCAGCCCCCTGGCACAGCATTAATGCCTGGTGCCCGCCTGCTTTTCCCATCTCTGGAGCCTGGCCCACGGGGCAGGTTGGGAACAGTGTTTTCCTGCCCTCCTGAAGCAGCGGTGCTGGTTCCCCCTCTGTGCTGGGCCTGTCTCCAGTGCACGGAGCGAGCAGAGCCCCTCGGGCGCAGGTGGCACCCGTGCAATAAGGACTCTGTAGAGATGCCAGCGTAGCCGAGCCAGGGACTGAAGTCCCCTCCTGCTCTCGCAGATGGCCTCTACAAGCAGAGGCAGAGTGTGCCCATGTGGGGAATAAACTACTGCCATTAGACTCCAGCCATGCAAGCAAGTGCTGCTCTCCAGAGTGACATTTGGTTTAAAGGGAGAGCTATTTTAATTGGCACCTATAAATACAAGCCAAGTGTGTGTAGCAGGCAGAGCACACCAGCCAGCCCAAGACTGGCCACAGGGCGGGTGTGTAGAGAGCAGTGTGCACCCATTTTGTTAGCACCCATAAAACCCCATACAAATATTCTTATTTCAATTTAATTTCAAGCTATTCCTCATTTGAACTGGAGGAAGGTCAGCCCCAGGCACAGTTGTTAAACTGAATGTGTTTAATATTCTTCTTTAACAGCTACAACTCTGCCCGTCTGTCCCTCTTTTATGGTTATGCTGCTGCACGGTTAGCTAGTGCTAATGCAGTTCTTTATAGAAGGGGTGGATTAACACGTGCTGTTGCTCCTTCATGACTGCTGGTTAATTAGTAAGCCGAGTACTTGACCGTTTAGACTAACCAAACCGAGCACAGGTTGGCAGCTGCCTCCAGCCTTCGCCGTTCCGACGGTGCCGAGTCCTGCGAGCCGGAGCTCCCCGGCTCCGCCAAGTGCTGATGCCTCCGGGGGCTGCGTGCGGGCGATGGGGCTGCCGGGGTGGCATCTGCGGGACCTCTTGTCTCTCCCTGGGAGCTGGAGGCGCTTGGGCTGAGCAGCACCTCCCGGGTGGTCACGCTGCACACGCAGAGGGTGCTCGGGGACAGCTTTGGGCCTTGGATCATCGTGGCTTTAGCATGAGCACGTGAGTGTGTACATGGAAGCTGAATCCTGAGCTAGGAGAGTGCAGTAAGTGCTCAGGGTTGCTGCTGGCGGCTGCTCCGTGCCCGCTGCCCTGCGTGCAGTGCGTGCTCACGGTGCTCTGTCCTCTCAAAGCAGCGGCCGGAGGCAGCTGAGCCGCTGCGCGCTCCGAGAGCAGCAGAACGGCGCGGGGACGGAGGCCTGGGGTGCTCTTGGGGAAGGAAGGCCTCTCAGAGGAGGCACGAATAGGATTTCTCCTTGCCTTGGAGCTGACAAGGCTGTGGGTACGTTCGTGTTGGTGACGTAGTGACAACCCGTTTCAGTGATGAAGATGAGGCCCTCTACCAGAAGGTTTCCTTGGAGCAGTGGCACATGGAGACCCTGGTGGAGCTGCTGTCTCACTGCCAGAAGAGCGGCCTCGCTCCTGAGCTGCCTGAAGGTGAGGAGCCGCAGTCCGCTGTCACCCTGCTCCGCGCTGGGGACATCTCTGCAAGGAGCTCTGCTCCTCATCGGCTCCGTGGGCAGGGTGGCAAAGGGGACGTCATCTACTGTGTGTCCGGGGAGCCTGGCGCGGTGGCAGGGGGACAGTGCTGCTGTGTGCCAGCCCGGGGACAGCCGAGTGAGCGTGGCCCCGCAGCAGGACCACACAGAGGTGGCCCAGGGCCAGTGGGGTGGCCACCGCCCCCGTTCCTGGAACTGATTTGCCTGCGCTGAACTCCTGCCTCCCCTGGCGCTTCCTTCCCCGCAGGCGCTGGCTCAGGTGGCTGCGGAGGACGGGGGCGCGGCAGCCCCTCCTGGAGCTGGAGCGGCGGCACGCGGGGCGCCGCAGGCAGCTGCTCGTCCTGCAGCTCGTGGCCGTGCTCTGCGAGAGCCTCTCCGACACCATGTTCACGGACATCGCTCAGGTCGGTCGTGGCAGAGCCCTGGGGGTTGGCAGCCGTGGTCTGGTGCACGCAGGGCCACTGGGTCCTCGGTAGCAATTGCTAGAAACACCTGGAGAAAACCAGAATTTCCCCGCGAAGCAGGTTGAGCTGTGTCTCAGCAAGGCACCCAGAAGGACCATGTTGGCTGTGGGTGCAGCTGGGAGCCTGCTCAGCAGACATGTCCTGTCTGCTTTGGCTTGTGTGTTAAAAGCAGAGATAATGGTCTGTGCATTTGCCAAATCCCGATTTATACCATCATCTTTGTTCTGAGCAAAACGCTTCCCAAATTTGATCAAGCTCAAAGACGCCAGTGCCCGCCAGGCCTTTGGGACATTTGCTGCGCGTCCGCAACGCCGGCGCCTGTTTATCCTGGAGCGGCTGCGAGTGTGCTGGGAATGCAGCGTGGTGCAGCAGCCGCATCCCCTTCCTCCCTTAGCATCACAGACCATACGTGGCATTGCTCTGGTTTTTGCTGCTGCAAGACCTGCACATGTGCATGGTATGCACATCCGCTGAGCCTGGCCTAACCGTGTTCGTGCAGTCACGACTTGCACGGTCCTCTTGAATAGACAGCTCCAGATCGAGTAGATGTTGCCCTTTCAAAGCCCAGCTAAGATACATTGCCCGACAGCGAGCGGGGTGGTCAGGCCAACATAGCCAGGTTACTCTATTTTAGCTTTTACCTATTTATATTTTCTGACGACCTAAATAGGATAGTTTGCTGTGACTTGCTTAAGCAGTACAAGTCACTCCGTAGGCGTTTTTTCCCCTCGCTTTTCTTTCTGGCACAAGGGGCTCTTTTGTGTTGTGCTCCCCAAGGACACGCGATGCGCAGCCGGTGTCGTCGCTCTGTCGGGCCCTGCGCTGCAGAGTCCCCAGCTCGGGCAGCAACAGCCACCCCTTCTCTTCACCTCCCTCTCTGTCACACACAGATGAAAGGGAGATCAGTTCTGGCATTTAAGGCAAAAAGCAGGGAATGAAAAATGATTTTCCCTAATTTCCGTGTCTAGGCAAAGAAAAGAACACAAGAAAAAAACCAATCAGACAAAAAAACTATTATATTTGAGTGCAAAGTAAATACTAGGTGTGTCATGTTTCAGGAAAATATATCCCTCAGGTTTAAACAGGTAGTTGCATAGCTCTGTTTTTAAGCCAGTTCTGTGGTACGTGGTGGTTCTGCTTTTTTCTTCTTGCTTTGGACACTGCAGAGTGCAAGCAGACTTGCAAAGAGCAGGATCTCTCTCCACGGAGCCGGAATTTGGGAATGGCCGGCAACTCTGGACCTTCACAGTTACACAATATATTTGATTTTTCATTGCTTCCCCTCATTGTTTGCCCACGTTTTAAGAGATTGACTCAGTTTCCTTGATAAGCCCTTTGCGACACACTGTGCTCTCCTATGGCATCATACGGAAATGTGCTCCTGTGTTTTATTTTTCAGGCTTTTTTTAAATATAGTTATGAGGTATTTTTTAGCCTTTTGGTTTTATCCCTAGCTATCTACTGTCAAATCACTCGTTCGTGATATTCTCACTCTTTCATTAAATATAATTTCCACCCTTTCAGCTCTTGTCGCTAATTTTTGAGAGCAGATGTTTTGACACCTCTTACTCCTTATTCTTGCTGGTTGGCAGCACCTTTTCTGGGCTTATTAGCGGAGAGTCCCTGAGCCTTTTCCGCAGCCTCCAGCGCCAGCCTTCCTACTTTATATGCTCCAACAGGGTCGTGCTTAATGAAGGCGGCGTGCGGCTCCGCTGATGAGCGAGCTCGTTAGGTGCCGCAGCGCCTGCGAGCTGACCCTGCAAGGCTGCAGCTGCCTCCGTGGCACCTCGGTGCCGCGTTGTTTGTTTTCTGGAACGGGAGCAGGTCCAGGGGGTTCCTCGGGGTTTGCAGGAAGGCTGTTCAAGGGGAACGGCCCCTCTTGGCTCCTGGGCTCGCGCCCTGCGTCCGGGCGCAGCCGCTGCGGCTCCTCGGGGCTGCGCTGCGGCAGACAAAGGAGCGAAAAGCCCTGTTAATTTCGAGCTTCATTAAAAACACAGGAAGCTCGTGGGATCAAAGGCTTTGGTGCCAAATATAGGGAAGGCCAAAGCCAGGCAGGCAGAATCGTTACTAGCTTGAAAAAAAGGTGGGGAAAAGGTATTGCAGGGGAATCTCAAATATTTTGAGACATGTGCATTGCACGCAGCCCGTGTCGAGTGCAGGCTGTATCCCTGGCTTTGTCCCTCCATCCTGGTGTTTCAGGAAAATGGATGAATTGCGATAATTGTCAGGAGCTGAAGGCCCCACAGCCTGTGTCTGTAAAGGGTAGAAGGGTAGAAGGGGTAGAAGTCTGCAGGACGCCCCAGCCTTGGTTCTTGGTGTGGGTGCTGCCCGGGAGAGCTTGCAGGCGGCCATGCAAGCAGTAACAAAGTTCGGGCCGTGCTAAATCCCTGCTTGACTATGTGTCTGGCTGTCACTGTCACATTTGTGCTGCTGGTGACTTCGGCCTGTGATGGCAACACACGGAGCCGGTGCCCTTGGCTCGGTGCTTTCCTGGAGCCATGCGGCGTTCAGCCCGTGCCCTTCCTGGTTTGATGGGTTTGATTTTCCCAGCCCTTGGCTGGCAGGAGGCCGTGCCGCCAGCCC